AACGTGGGTCATCATACCATATATAAACGGCCTATGACCCGATGCGTGAATGTACGTACGTTCATGGCTAATCACTGACCCTGTATCATACTCGGGACGTAAGATTGCAAACTTCTTTCATAAAATCAAATTTCTAATTGGATCCAAGGAACTTTATTAAGAGAACAAGAGTACTTGTTTTCTGAGTACAAACCTTGCTCTTAAATTAGATTTTTGTTTGGGAATTTGTTTTACGTTGTTTACGTCATATCTTCTAATATTGAAACAACGAAGGTTATTATTCGGGCTTCCCGCAGATGTTCGTTCACTGTAAAACAAAAATGCGCGGCAATTCTTTCGAGATATGATCAGACATTATTTTGGCATTTACTTATAAATTTCACACACACGCCACTTAGTAAGCGGCAATCCTATGTTAGAGGTCGAGTGTTGACCTACTGTCTGTACATATGTGTGCAGTATTACACGCCAGTGGATCAATTGTTTTGCACCATAGAAATAAATAAAATGAAAGAAAATTACTCCATATTCAGTCGATTTTAAAATATTCTATTAGTTTTTCAAACAACAATATCACGATTTTTATTGACATACTAATAATTCACACGACTGTAAAAGGAACAGTGTGAGAAATCGGTAGTCCGAAAACACGGCAGTTGACTACGCCAGGACAGGCGTGGCTAACCCGAATGAATACTATGGGATTCTTATGAATGAACAGTGCTTGTCTGATATAGTACAGTACAGTTAGAAATTACATTTTGAGTTCTCATATAATCTTTGATTAGCACAAATGTGAACTGTCGTGATAGCAATCCGGACTCTGTTCTTAAATCCACGGCACACTTGTCCAATTTTTGCAATTATGAATGTAGCAAATACGAGGGCATGTTGTTTAATCATGGTGCAGATATTATCTATACATATATGGTGATACTACGCTATATTACATATAGCTTAATAAATCAAATAAACGTGGGATCTGCGCATGTGCAAGGAATTCTCTCTACCGTTATCATTCACTACTTACCTGTATCACGTGACGGCTGCTGACAGAAAATCACACAAAGTGAAAGAATAGTCTTGATTGCCTCAGCGACCATTTTGACATTAGAAGAAGATTGTCTTTTATTTCTTGACATTTTTAAAACTCGGGATTCTGCTGAATAAATGAATAATACATTTGTCAAAAATGTCTGAAATCAGCCATTTTGAAAATTATGTGGCGCCTATGCAAATGACAAATTGTCATCATTGTCTTGTATCTCACTCATATCTCTGATAACTTTAGCACAATTATACATCGTATTGGTGATGTTTCTCGTGTTGTGATTCAAGTCAGCTGACGTTTGTATTAGCAATGTATAAAACATCAAATAATTTGTGAAGTCTGAAAAATACAAGATGACTCATTACATTTCCTACGTGTGCACGTGACATTGAACGCTAATAGATTAACCTATTGTTGTTTTCATGTAACTGCCATTATCGTAATACCGAATAGATATCGAATTATCCTTTGAGTGTTTGGCGAATATCGTCGAGATATTAGGCCACACCGACTTAATTTTATGGATGACATCCGCGCGCGCATTAGTTTTCGCCTGTTCTCAAAAACAAAACAAAATCTCCGACGACGAGTCTCCACAGATTGGTTTTCTGTCCAGAACTTGCCGACTCATATTGTTGCAAAGCGCCGGCTTGTCGTAAAATTCGTTTTGTACTACTACTAAACGTGCCAATTTTGTCGTAAATGACCTTCTGCACATGCGTATTGCGTTGCCGGGAATTCCAACATGGCGACCACGCCACCAATATACGTGAGCATAAAAGTTCAGAGGAAAAACGGAGGAATTGTTGTAGACTGGTACGCAATTGACGTCGGCCAGGGAGATGTGACGTTTACACAGCTATACGAGGGATTGGTAGCAGAAGCGAGTTTCGCCCAGACAACTTTAAGGACATATTGTCCAGAGTGGCTGTCCCCCGTTTCTTCTGCAATGATGAGAGAAATGGGAGAGGAGTGGAGGTGTATGGTGGCCTAAAAGTCAGTCAGGTGACAAGTCAGTTCGGTTGCTTTGTCCGCATTGAAGTCGACAAAACTGCAACAAAAGCAGAGGAAGCTCCTCGGCCGAAAATCCGCTTTTGAGATGAAGAAAAGTTTTTTATTATTTTTTATTTCATTTTCTGATTTGGATAATTTGCTTGCACACACAGTCAGTAATATTTTGATCATATGACAAATTTTCATGAAGATACATGTACATAATTTTCTGCATCCAAATTTGTTACATAGTTGAAGTAGTTCTAGAGCATTTGTGTCTACACTTAGTCTATCTGAAGTGTCACTTAAAAAGCTGTAGTTTGAATGTCAAAAAAGTTAATTTTCAGGTTGCTGTTGACAAACTTATTGTTCATTTTTAATTCAATTTTTTTTCAATACAACACAGTAAGTTTTTTTATTTAATATTTATTTATTTTTTGTTGTTTTTATGATACACTGTGTTCTGTAGTTCAATTCGTAATGTTTATACCAGCTCCGTAGTTCTGTGGTTTTAGCAGCATTTTTTGGGGGTCTCCAGAGGATGTCATCAATAAAATTAAATCAGCGTGGCCTTACAACTGTCTGTACCCTTATGTTGGGTTAATCACGAAAAAGAAGTATATTATACAGAAGAGTATTGCTGACACGTCAACATATATATCAAGACGCGTATATACTACAATTCTTATAAAATGTTCTTATAAAATTTGTAAAAAATGTTGATAACAAATTGAATTATTTGAGTATTGTTTATTAAATTGCAGTTACATAGATACCTTAGATAATTGATATTATTTTTAATTTAATTCCAGGTTAGCTTAGAATTCTTGAGAATAATTTTAATAATATTGCTTCGTTTTGTATATCATATACCATATACACAGACTGATACACACTCAAGAATGTGTGTTCGATTTATTTTGCAAATGCGCATGCGCGTTGACAATGACAGGTGACAGTATGTCAAATTATTCATTTCGCGCATCCAGCTATACAATAATTATTATAGTTAACGTTTTATATTGTTTTTTTTAATAAGACCGACGTTCACTATTTGAGATAACATCAAAATTACATAGATAACATAGGAAGCATACCAAATACCTTAAAACATAGGCAGTATAATTTCAACATGTATGACGCCATGAAATCACCAAATACATATGAAAGACTGATCTTTAAAATAGGATATTTATATTAACTGATCAGCGGATCAATTCACTATGTGTGCTTCTATGATTAATTTATATTTTCAGAACATATTACAATATAAAGTTGATGTATTGCGTATACTTACTTGAGTATCAATAGATATTTCTTCGTAGGGGCTATTTTGAGTCATACTTGCTCGGGATGATTTATCTTTTAAATATTTGCAATTGAGCAGAGACACATCATTATTAAAGTTATGGCCGAATATAACGTACTTTTAATATATCATTCAACTACTGTGAATCGTTTAATTCAGTTTTTCTTTTCATTTCGGGATCGTGAGACAAAAGTTGCTGTCACTCTTTGTTTTGGAACTGCATACATATTTTCACTGCTACAAAATTACTGAAATTTGCAACTGTTACAATATTTTCTACACAATTAAAGCGTTTTTGTTGAATGATACTTGTATTTGAACATCAGATAATGTCATTGTTGTAGCAAAAGTCTAAATTAAATCATATTGCACAATATAATTTGATAATACTTACGTCACTTGCAATTAGCGAATGCCTAATTTGTTTTGAAAAGTAGCAATCATTATTATTTGGTTTATCACAATTAGGCTTGATGTAAATCATTCCAGACAATATTTCGTTAATGACTGTATTTGCACTAACGCTAGGCACATGATAATGCAATCACGTGGTGGCGACAATTCTGCAGAGACACGGTCACAGTATGTATAATGCAACGAATATAGAAATAATGCATTTTATATGAAAACTCACTATATAAAAAATCAAATATTATCAATCCGACAAATGTGAAATCAGAGTAATACAGTTGCTTATCGATCTCCTCATTTCTATTTTGGTGTAAACTTATAGTTATTTTATTAATAATGTAACTGATATCATCTTACACTGCCTTATCTATGAAACTCGAAAAAAGTCATCCTACATTATGAATGTCTCATATACTGCTACGTGATTCGTCCGTATTTGCATGCTATTTTAAAAGTCAGTGATTATGTTCCAATGGTCCATTTTAGAGAGGAAAATGATCCGTCGCTCCGGAAAGATCTTTCTTTGGTTGAAAACGCCTAACAAGTAACTCCCAAAATGAACATGCAAGGAAGCGTCTATTATATCGATGACGTAAATCGTGTAACGGCAATTGTTATTATTAGCGTGTAATAAAGCGAAACTAATGGTTTAGATGATAAGAAGGAGTCTGAGTAATATGAACATGCATGGTAATATGCAATATGAACGGAAACACTTAGACGGCACACTTTACGATTGAAAAGTTCAACAAAGGACAATTCGCCAAATGTTTACCTGATTGACTATTACATCTGTTTAAGGGTCCTCTCCATATCGACGATGAGTCGCATAGATACAGATAGTTTGTCTGGTTGCACTTCATCTCACACATAAACCAAATATTGTTTTCCCATTTCGTAGGTACTGGCGTAATTATGATATGAGACGATCCCTGGTTACTCGTTCCTCTATTAACAGCTTGTTCACCTCTCGTCGTCTTATCCACAAGTATAACCCCGCTATAACAATCATAGGTTACTTTATTCCCACAAGCGATGGCAGGCAATCCAGGACAAATGTTTAAGTTCCTGGTGACATGTAATCCGTTACTATAGTAACGTGTAATGTTTATGCAGTGCAAGTTTTTCCTTTCCGTGCTGTTAAGCTCGACATTATTCTCATTCGTGTATCTAGCACCAATCTGTGTACAACAAATACATAGTTATTTATTCACGGGGAACTTCCAGTTCCGGTTCACCGAACAACAATATGGCAGCGAAAACGCCAACATCAAAAACTATACCTTCTTAGATGTTGTTAAATTAAAATGTTATCACCACTCAGGCAAGACTGATTCCCGAGGAACATCATATCAATAACTATAAGAATGGTGGTCCCCATGGTACTGCCATGGATACTATCTTGTGGTTCATTATTGTTTTTGAACTCGATACTTGTCATTGACACTTGAATAATTGTGCATCCATATTAATAAAACTGGAAAATTGCTTTCAAGATCAAAAGAACATTTTAAAAACTTTTGAAAGCTAAATATGATTTATTAGTATTTCATAAATGTATTTTTTGTAAGAATTTTTTTTATAATTGTTATAATTAGTACACTCAAAAATGGAGATGTGATGTGTAGAAATTTGAACTACAGCAGACAATGTTATGATTGATCAAGACACTAAAACACTCAAGTTATCTAATAGATGATATCAGCTAACGTTTTAGCGAAAAAAAATTTGGTCTATTTTAATTTGTATCTGAGAAAGTAAAAATGATGTTCATCAACATTATTATAATGATAATTATTATCATCAAGGACTGTCTGAAATTTGTTTAAAAATATTAGATGTGAAAATATTGTTCTGAAAGTCTACATCAATCGCATCTAGGATGTCGTATGAATACAATTCGACACATTTATTAAAATATCGCCCGTGAGAAAAAAAACAACAACAGCTCCTGTGAAAATCTCTCGGCTGAAAGCGACTGAAATAAACAAAAAGCTTGAAATTGATAAATTTAATAGTGCACATGAAGTGAAATCATGACTCAATCGATTTAAAGTAACTCGATCGACGACAAACTTCAAACTTCTAATTATTTTCATATAATATATATATATATTGTGGGTACTGAGCATATTGCAGAGGCCTGCACGGTGATATCAAGCAATACACGTTTATGCTCGGACACGTAGATTGTTCCAAGTCAATATTGATGTTACATCGTCATATATGCAGTGTGCGTTTAAATAAAGGAATACTCTATGTCAACACTGAGACGACGCAGTGATGGTGACAGTCAGTCGACAGACATCTTATGAGCTTAAAATCATGTAGGATAAATA